CAAATCTCATTCTATGGAATGAATTGAAGCAATAATTCAATTCTCCTTTCCGCGAAAAACCAGAAATCAAAGAATTCCAGGAAACCAAATCCTTATTTGGCATTTCATCAAACAAATTCCATGCACACTCAAAGAACCCCAGTTTCGTATACAAAGAAACCAAACGGTCACCAATGAACCCATTTTCGTAATTCAGGGACTTGAATATACGGGCATGAAATGTTTTGCAAGATGATATTGAAGAACAGGAATTTATAGCAGAAATAAGAAACTGAGTATTGTAAGTGAACAAATTGCACGGTGTTCTTTCTGGGTTTATAAAAGTGAATAGGGATAATAATTGTTGATTATATGTGAATTTGTTCAAACAGAAGGAAGATCTAAAGGAGAAGAATGTTAGTGTAAATTGTGAAACCAACATTGTCCATTAATTTGCTATAGCGAAAATTTAGTTCCACTCTTTCTATATTTCCCTTGTTACCACCAGATGTAGATTAAGGAAATTCCATCCTTCTGAATTCATAACAATTATTTTTTAGTGAATTGTTTCTATTCATTATGCAATTAATTTAGAAGTAGAAGTCTCGAATAAATTTTTCTAGATCAAAGTTACCATCACTCTCTCGATGAATTCACATCTATATAGGTGTAGGGTGGATAAACTATTGGAGTTTTAACTTATGTGGAGCTCAAGAGGACTTGAAATTGAAGTGTGCTATACCGAAGAGTGGCAACCTGACCAAGCAATTCGTGGACTCAGCTTGCCTCGGCTCGATCCATAGATGGCACGAACATATTTTGAGACGATTGCTGGATTGAGTTGAGCTCATATTTTTTTGATGAGCTAGCTAAATTCGCTCAGCTCATGAAGCGCACCGGCCAGCTTGTTTGAGTTCGAAGGCACAAGCCAGTACCCGTCCTTTGATTTCGAGGCCTGAGACGAACTTTATAAATTAGGTCTCCAAAATTGTAGCATGCATGCAAAATCTATAAGGATGCACTTGATTACGAGTATAAAATTTATATAGAAAGAAAATAAATTCTAGGCATGACTAGAACTTATTTGTATAGAAATTATTAATTAAACGTGTTTGATTGATTTAGTTTTCAA